AGACAGATATTTACATGGGAATGTGGCAGATAATTAATTGACATATTACTGATCTTGCTGGATTTTATTCCGCTTTTACCAGAAGATTTAAACTTTAAAAGCCTTGCCCTCATAATTTGCAAGTTAATTTATTTATAAAGGCTATTTTAATTATTGTGATCAATTTGCGCCGTCAATCCCGGCGCATGCGCGCTTCATTTGCAGTCTGGACGCTGAGGGTAAAAATCCTGCGGCTCTGACTGCAGCGCTGAGAGGGACTCCTGTGGGAGAACAGGGTTGGAATGGGGGAGGCGCCCCACGGCAGCAGCTGCTGCTGCAGGACAAGAGTAGGAACGATACATGCTTTCACGTAAGAGTCTCCAAAAGTCGCCATATTTGTCGCTAGTTGCTTTTTAAAAAAACAGTCGCTGGAGGGGTCTGAAAAGTCGCTAAATATAGCGACAAAGTCGCTGAGTTGGCAACACTGCGCACCTGCAGCGCTGGCTCGCTCTGCCGTAATTTTTTTTCTTCCCCCGTTTCAGTCAAGTGGCAGTGATGACGGCGGCGGCGGATGACGCATTAATCATGCGACACAACTAATCGATGATGAAATTCGTTGCCAACGCTTTTAAAAGTCGATTTTTATTGATTTTATCGATTTGTTGTTGCAGCCCTAAATTCAAGTATCGTGATGCATCGTGATTCGAATCGAATCGTGACTTCTTTGGCAATACCCACCCCTACGTCAGACTAAACGACTGAAAAAAATGCATGAAATAAGCTTAGAGTAGAAGAAAATCTAGCTTAACAGCTTTTAGTTCAGCAGTAATAAAGCTACCATAGGAGCAGCGCAGACTTACTCTGATGTAGTCTGAAGAATCCGGTTCAAACTGGACAAGACACAGATCCAACACATCCTCATGGCGGTCCTGGGAGAAAACAGTCTGCGACAGAAAAGGTGTAAGAAAATAACACGTTTGCATTTCATGCAAAAAGAAGAAACGTTCATTGACAAAGAGTAGGTCTGGGACTCAAATTGATTTGATTCTGATTCTTAAGATATAAAATCGTTTCTTTTGGACCTGAAATGATCTCAAAAAGGTGCAATTATTAGCCGATATCCAATATGCTGATATTTTAAAACTCATGTGGCCGATAACCGATATCGATACCGATGTTAAAGCTGGA